GATGAGATGGTTTAGTCTTTAACACTAAGCGGGCACCACACACCTGAAGCAGGAGCACATACTCTCCTCCTAAAACCAGGAGCAGCTGGGAAACATCACCCAGGTGGGTGGAGAACACCCGGGGGTGTTGGGAAGGAGCAGCATGGCAGGGTGAGCTCGGGAGGAAGAGGAGTCATCTGCGAAGAGTCACGGGGAGATTTCCTCTCGCCCACCTCTGGCTTCACCCACAAACGCTCGGGGTTGTGCACCCCATGGCATCACAGGGTTGAACTCATCTCCGGTAGCGCCCACCACAGGGAGAAACCAGCCCTGGAGAGATGGTAACAGGCACAGATGGGGTGGAGGGAGGGTAGCGGAGCCCCTCGGAAGCGTTTTGGATTTCCAGCTGCGGATTCCAGCCGCGAGAGGTCCGGGGTACCCAGGCAGCACCCGCAGAGAGCCCTTCCCGAGCCCTCCGGCAAACAAGACGCTCCACCCCGAAGAGGCTTCGCTGACATTCGCAGCCTTCAGCCACGAAATCACGGCGTGACTCGGGAGCTTTCCCACAGCCCAGATCCCCTCCCCACAGAAGAGACACCAGCGAGTCCTGCCCCAAACACAGCGGAGGTACCCTGGACCCCCCCCAGCACCTCAAAGCCACGTGTGTTGGGGCTCCTTCCCCCCTTCCCCAGCAGCATATGGGGACAGCAGCTTTCATTTACACCAAGACAAAAAGCCGAGGCTGTTCTGAGCTCCACGGCACACAAAGTGTGCGCACCGAGACAGAAAGGCAGTTCTTCTCATCCAGAAACTCGGCACAAATAAAGCATGGGATAAACACCTGGACTCTGTCCCAGCAACACAGTTGTTCCTCTTTCCCTTCCTGCCCCCCCAAAAAAACTTGGAAGATCGCTTTATTAATGTAGTAGGCTGCTACCAGATGGAGCAGAGAGGATTGCCAAGAACAGATCACTGGCTTCTTGTGAAGCTCAGAGCCGCTCACTAACTTTTTCCAAGCAAGGAGTTAGCCCAGAGGTATTGGGCCGCTCGCTCCGCATGGAAAGGCAACGATTTAACAGCGAGAAATCTGCCAGGGAGTTTCTCTGGGTCATCAACAGGAATTAAAAGTTTTACAGCTCCCGCCCTGAGTCACTGGGCCCCAGTAACACCAGGTGCTGGGTCTAGGTAAGCCGGGCAGGGCAACTGCCGAGCTGGGAGCCGCTTGCCCTGACTCAGCCAAGAGGAATGTCAGCACCGAGATCCCGATCCCCCGGGACACATCCGCACACCCGCCACCGGGTGTGGTGTCTGCGAGGAAAGTCAGCGCCTCGAAGGAAGGCTGGAGTCGGGCAAGTACAGCAGATGGGGGAGTGGGGACCCTGCCGACACACCTACGGGAGAGAGTTTTGGCAGTCTGGCTTAGCCTTTAGCCCCTTTTTTAGGTAGGGGAAAAAAAAAACCAAAAGGCAATTTGTGAGGGGGATGTGGTGATGCAGCAGGACCGGGATCTCCTCGTGCTCTGCACTGGGGGCCAGCCCGAGCCAGGAGGCGAGCGGAGGGTCTGGGCTGGCAGCTCCGACTCCCGGGTGCGTTCAAACAAAGGATGCTGCGTCAGGCCAGCGGCCGCTCCTCCGTGCTGGGGGAGGAGGGACTGCTGAGCAAGTAGGCCATTAACTTCCTGCCAGCTAGTCTGCAGCGGTAAGGAAATAGATAAAAAAAAAATATTCCAGCCCTGTGGGGTGTGCAGGCGGCGGAGGCAGCCCCTCTGATCAGCCGTGCTCCAGCAGCAGGACGCGTGTGCTCAGCAGAGCCGGGCTTTCCCAACACAGGCGCGTCCAACAGAGCGGCTGCTTGTTCATCAGCACAAATCCCGGCAAACCCACAGCTCGGAGATGAAGCCTGGCCTCGGGTCTTGTCTAGATGTCCTCCAGGGAGAGGAGCAAAACCACCCTGTAGCCAAGGCAGAGGCAGAAAAGGAGCCTCTTGCCGGGGATGCTGCTCCTTCTCCCCACGTCCCAGCCCCACGCCAGCTCCCCTCTGCGCTGCCCAGGGAGGTCTCTGACCCCCCCCAGACCAAATACACAGCTTTGAACTCTCAGATGGGATTCTCGAGGCACAAATCCGTGCTGCAAAGCTCGGGGCTGGAGGCGACGGGGTGATCTAGAAGGAGGGGACCAGAGTCCTGCTGCTGCAGGTATCGCCCCCATTTGGGGCTCACAGCCCTGAGCCCCCCAGAGCTCTGCTATCCCTTAGCACAAGAAACCACTTCAAGCCTGTAGATGTAAAGTGCGTATTTGGGAGCAGCTGGTCCCCTTGGACGCACACGCAGCTTTGCCTGCCCTTTACACCAGGCTCTCCCCATCCTTCATTTGCAGAAGCCTCAAACTTCACCTGGATCTTGCCCTTCCTCCACTTGTACCTCTGAGTTCAAAGTGCTCACGTAAAGAGATAAGCCCAGCCTTGACTGCTCCTCCCAGTGACTCCCCGTCACCCCAGTGCCCAGCTGAAGCCAGAAGAGGAATGGTGAGGGCAGGGGACACACACCCCCCCCATCACATCTGTCACCAAGCAAGTCCCCAGCACGGGTGGGCATGGGGAGGGGAGCGTTAACCAGCCACCTTCGGGGAAAGGCTTCACAGAGATCTACGGCTGGGGTACTGTCAGATCGGGAGGAAGCCCAGCCCTCTTCCTCCTGCTCTCTTGAAGAAAGAAATGCAGGAATTTGGCAGAAGGCCACGGTTCAAACAGAGGAGACCCTGTGCTAAGGCATGTTCAGAAAAGCAGCCTCTTCCCTGCCAGGATAAACGTTGCTTTTCCACCCCCTTCTCAGGGGACAGAAGATGTTGCCCCTCAACTCCGACATCAGCAGGAGCTGTCTGGAGAGGGTGGGCTCAATCTGCGCCGTCCTCTGCCAGACGCGCTCGCCTTGCCTGGACATTTCTTCCTCCCCAGGACACTCCGGGGGCAGCAGAGAAGGAACCAAAGCCCCATCTGGGCATTGCAAGCGTACAGCCCCCAGCCCAGCGGACGAGGGGCTGGCAGCTGCCCGAGGCAAAGCCTCCTGTGCCAGCAGTTTTCAGCTGCTCTCACTTCCCTTTGCTTTAAGGCACGGCCGGGCAAAGCAGAAAGAACAAAGCACTGAATGCGGGTTTCCGCACAGAGTTTTGAACATCCAGGGCTACCCTGGGGTAGGAGCGAGACAAAACAGCTGCCTCTTCTTCAGGGAGGCTGCTAAAGGGTTAAGACAGCAAGCCAGCATCAAAGGGAGCTCTGGAGCAGAGGGGGTTGAGAAACTGAGATGGGTCGAGGTTGCGCAGACTCCTTGGAATCTCAGGAATTTCCCATTATTATCCCACTTCCCTTCCAGCAGCTTGGAGGGAGAGAGCACAAGAAGAGGACCCCAGGCCCGTCCCCGCGGCCACCACCGGGCATGGGCATGCCCTAGCCCACGGTGCCAGGCAAGGCTCTCTGCGGGGATGCCCACGATCCAGAGGAGAAAGCTTTGCTCCAGGACACTAAGGAGAGCTCCGGGGTCTGACCTCCCGCAGCTCTCCGCGAATCAAGGTCTGAAGCTCACGGATGGCTGGACCACCGCGGTGGGCTGAGACCTGCCCAGCCCAAGAACAAGCACCCCTCTAATCAAGAGCTCTCCCTGCCCCAGACCGTGGGCTTCCCCCTCATCCAGTTACCCCAGGGCAGTTCCCAGTTTCACCTCAGCAGCTGGAGCTCCGGCAGCGCTGTTGGCCCCCATACAACAAGAACATCACGAGTTATTTGCTACTTTTCACCCAGTTGCCACCCTGCATTTCAGGTGAGATCCCAGGGCACAGCCGCTACCAGCCAAGACTTGAATGCCACAAGTCTCATCTCGGTCCAACGCAAGTTCTGGACTTTCGACAAGTCACAGTTGTCATCAACACCCGATATCAGCCACAACCAACCTATAAAAGAGCTACAGGAGTGGGAGGTTTCCACTAAGGCACCATATGGCTGATGGTTTAAATAGGGTAATACCCGTCTCACAAGGATGCTGCCGGGGATTAATGTTTTTAGAGAACTCTGTGAATGGCCCATCCTATACAAGCACTAAGTAGTAGTACGCTATTGAATTTTCTTTCTAAGAACAGTTAATGGGTAAGAAGCAGATACAAAAAAAAAAAATCTTATTGCAAAGCTGCTTTACAGACATTAAGAAACACGTCAGGTATGCAGAGCTCAGCGCTCGTTGGGCAACAGCAGAGCCCAGAAAAGCCGTACACAATTAAGGGTCTTTCTTGATAAGAAAAAAATAAAATAAAATAGGGCCCAGTGAACATCCACCAATCAGAAGCAGCCTGAAAGATGCAGGAGAGTGAAGTGAGGTGCAGCACGGGCAGCTCGTTCCACCCTGCCCTGCCTCCGCCTCCCCACGCCGCTCAGGAGAGGACTCTGCGTTCCAGCTGTATTTATTTACCTCCAGATGCATTCGCCTCGCCAACACCCAGGGCAAGTGCCAGCGGATGAGTGAATGCACTTGGCCACGAGCCCAGCAGCCTGCAAGCGTGACTCCCGGGTCCCTCGCTGTCTCACACACCCCTCATTCCCCCCCCCAGAAGGGCACTTCTCTCCCCCAACACCTGTATTCGGTTGGGGTGGTATAAACACCTTCTTAGTTCCCTTTAAGGGGATGCAGATTAAGATCAGCTCCGTGTAAACGCCTGCCTGTATTTGAATTTTATTCACCACCTGTCTGCCCAAGCTGGAACTGGAGAGCAGGCATCAGCTGGCATTTAAGCCTGGAAAACACTGGTTTAATACCAGCATTAACTGGCCTGTGTGACTCCTTCAGCTTCTTCACACGCACGCCCAGAAAATGCTGCAGAGCAGCAGGGAGAGAGTTTCTGCAGAGGTCAGGGTTCCCCACACCCCTCATTTTAGGGTGTCAGGTCTGGTGCCCAAGGAGGAAGAGGGTCCAGCAAACCCCACAGCACGTCCCGGCCCGAGGCTTGCTCAGTGGCAACGAGCGAGTAGCAGAGACTTACGCGTTGCAATACGGCTTCTTCTCGTAGCCCTTGTAGTTTTTCATGTTTAGGGTCATCTTGCAGGTCTCGCAGTGGAAACATGCTTTATGCCAGAACTGGAAAGAGAGACAAGAGAATCATTAACACGAGTGACTTGCAAAACAGGGCCACGTCCCCCGAGAATCGCACAACTCAAAACTCAGCAGCTCCTCCAGCCTAGAGGTGTCAGCGGTGGCATCATCCATGGTCCCTGCAAAACCCAGGACAGACCCTCACTAGTTGAGGACCCAAGTAAATCCCTCCGGGTCCTCCCAACGCAGCTTATCTCAAGAGGGCCTCAACGCTTGTGACCCGCATCACGACAGCATCTCGCTTCCTTACCTCCAGACCAGGAACTCGTGGGCTCAGCCCAACGCGGAGCAGGAGAAGCCGCCTACTCAGAGGCACAACACAAACCCCTGTGAGCTGGGAGCTCGTCAGCAGAGTTAACAGCTGGTGTTTGCAGGCTTCAAAGTTGCTGCTTTAAGGGTTTTTTTGCTGATGTTAGCCAAGAGATAGCCAGAAGAGCAGGTCAGGTAAGGCTGCACAGAGACACTGAGCCAAGGAAACGAAGACAGAGGAGCGACGGTTCTCACGAGCAGCAGAGTCCGAGAGGGACAGCGCGAAGGTTCTCACCAGACACCACCCTCCTGCTGCAGCTTCAGCAGCTCCTCACAAACCCTCCGGCCCCAGGGGGTGCAGGATCACCCCAAGCACTCCTCATCCTCACCGTGGGGCTGTCAAGAGTTATGACTGCTCCTGCCGGGGCTGCAGGGCCAGGGAAGAGGAGCTGCTCGCCTGACATTCTGGTGAAAGGATTTTTTGCATCGTCTCCCCCACAGCTCTTCGCACCAGCAGCCTCCAGCTGCCCCCACATCCTACCCGAGATCCGTCAGCTGCACAGAGGTGTACAGCAGCAGAGCTAAAATCAACCCCCCTGAAACTCAGCTCATGGCCCCACATTATGGGTCACACACCTAAAGAACTCGGGACTCCGCTGTCGATCTGTCTTTAACAAAGTTTTTAGGGCTACTCAAAGAAATTATTTCCACTCGGCATTTAACCGGCCCAAGTGACTTTCTAGGCTGGAAGGAGCCCGATGAGAACAGCTCAGCGCTGCTACCAAGCAACTCTGCAAAGCTGCTCAACCCCGCGCAGACCACGGCTGACACTCTGCCAGGCACTAAGTGACCAGACTTTGTGCTTCCTCCGGCAGCCACAGCCACTTCAGGGGTCTGGTGTGACCTCGCGGGGACCAGACCGGGCACGGCCGATCGGGAAACGCGCAGGCAGGAGCCAAGCTGGAGCAGCACAGCAGGCAACACACAGCCCCGTCTTTACTCACTCGAAGCAACGTCTTTACTCACCCCAGGCAAGGCCGTGCTGCCCTAGGGTTGCCCTTCCTCCTCAGCTGATCCCCCTATTCAGCAAGCCCCCCTGCACAGCACACAAACCCCCAGCATC